ATGGTTCTTCAAATACAGATAGCGCAGCACCTTTATTTATGGACTGAGTACTTTCAGAGGGGTTTGATCGTAATTCAGAAAGGAGAATCACACCAGAAGATAAGCACAGAGTGTGAGGCGCAAGATGGTATGAAGCTATTTAGGTGCAATAATAAGACACAAGTGTCTTGAAAACAAAATGGATTTTGTAAACGCAAGCCTGCTTTGGCATAAATTGAGTAAACAGAATGTGCAATCTTGGCCCTGTCTTTTTTCCTCATTTGGGAAGGACAATTGAAGCAAAATGCATCAGTTAAACATGCCTCCAAGTTTCTCAGTCCCAGAATTATCTGATCGTCACACTGGCAATCCTGCTTTAGGCACCAATTTCTACCGTGACACCAGTAATCACTTCAGAATGAGAAGGCCACAAGATGCCACAAGATTCTTCGGGTTCTGTTTGTGTGGCTGAATAAAAGACACCTTCACCTGACGGATAGCCCGATTATCTTATCGTCACACTGGCAATCCAGCTTTAGGCACCAATTTTTACCGTGACACCAGTAATCATTTCAGAACGAGAAGGCCACAAGATGCCACGATATTCTTTGGGCTCTGTTTGTGTGGCTGAATAAAAGACACCTTCACCTGACGGATAGCCCGACAGGACACCTTATTCTTACACCTCCTGACTTGACACAAGACAGGCCCCAGGATTCTGTGGACACAGTATCCGCCACCTTCAGATCAGTCACACTGATAGACAAGATAATGGAGTCTGATAATGGGGCACTATCCCTAAGCCGAACAATGTTCATCACGGCCCTTCCTGTCATCCACACAGACACATAAATACACAGTTGACAGCTTACAAGGGCTAAGGCAACGATACAGGGCCTTGATATTATTTGTGTGTCTGTGAGAGACAAGACTGTGAAAGAAAGATGGAGGAACTTGGAAGGGTTTTGCTTTTAAAAACTGTACGCCTCACTTCAAGCTGATCCCGTTTTGGGGTTTTGAGATCTTGAGATCCGTTCCTTCTGACTCCTCAAGGTGCGGCTATAGTCAAAGCTTGCTGTAGGCGAAAGAAACCGTGTTTGAATTGAACCGTTTGAATGATGACTTCTTGCTTCAGGAGTTGAAAGAGGCAACTTGTAATTGCTTCAGCTGGTGAAGGTAGTGCAAAATTGTCTTCCATATAACAAACAAAAAGAGTTCTATGTATATAGTCGCTTTCTGACTGACTCATGCTTTAACTATGAAACTTTATTATTAGCTGAAGTGGTAACTCTGGGGGAACTGAAAGTTGTATCATTACCTTTAGGAAAAATGCAATTAAGAAGTTGTTTGTGAAGTTTGTGAGTTGGTTTCATGAATGTGTCTCAGGGTGTCTGACAGGAAGTCATATTTTTGGTAAATGCAGGTTTATTAAAGGTTTCCCCACATCTTTTAACTAATACATTTCCACAACTTGTATAATATATATATATATATATATATATAAGTTTGAACCAACCTCATCACATTTTTAGCTTCCATTCCTTCTCCTTTTCCCCATAATTCCTTGTCCTTCTCCTGCTGTATTTTGTTTCTTCATTGCAATAACATAATTAAAGTTAAATATTCAGTGCATAAATATGCATTGTTCCCCCTTTTCTTTCCAAAAGATTCTGAGATTTCCAAAAAATTGCATTCACGCTGCGAGAGCCAATACAGTTGCATGCCAGGAGAAATAATTAGCAAAGAAACTGACAGCTTGCAAAGTAGTTTTTAGGAAAACACATTGTTCAATACAGCACAGAGCTTTCAATGCAATAATAAGGGATTCTGTTTTCAATGCAACATGATCGTTACTGTTGTGTTTTCATCTTATGTATTACTAAATACACTGGTGTTTTTTTCTCAAAAGCGCACAGTTCTCACGTCCACCCCCATGTTTCTGTCCCTTATATATTTTCCTACTTTCCAAATGATTTAATGGAAAAGCTTAGCTCACCATTAAATCGAGCAAGATCAAAAGGCTAATTGAAAAAAACAGCGTTTGGCTAAAGTTCGTTGGCTGTCGAGCAGGAAGCCCTCTTCAGAGGAGGGAATTAACTTTGAGAAGAATTCATCTGGCCCGACTTGGTCAAAGATCAAGTAATCCCAGACCTGTGTCAAATGGAGAAAAAGCATGAAGATAATTGCAAAGAAAACCCTGAGCGCAAGTTAAGTCAAACTCATTTAGAAGTTTTCAAAGGATATGTTGAATTTCTTAGATGCCCACTGTAGCGTTGACCTTTAGGATGGTGTTTGTGTGTACTAGTAGCTATATAGTACTACTAGTAGCTGATTTAACTGAATATTAGCAAAGTCACCTTTGTAATGCAGTTCTATGTAACGATATTCCGGACAATTTTCAAAAGGAATTGCAAATTGTATTTTCAATTGCGTTTTCAATATGTGGACGCATAAATTGTGACATAATCCAAATGCAATTGCAAATCCTGCATTACCGTTTGCATTTTCGCTTTCGCGAACGCACAGTGACTGCCAAATTTCAAATGAAAAAGCAAAGTCCATTTGCAACTGTATTTCCCATGTCTTAGGAGTTACGAGCCTGTCATATTTAAATAGCAATATTAATTACCACGTCTGCTTTTTCACTCTCGCTGCGTCACGCATGTAACCTGCCAAAACTCAAATGGAATCGCAATTCCTTTTGCATTTGAATTTCCGATGTCTACATGGAAAGCTGCCAATCATCGTCAGGGGCGGGACTATACTAATTATAGTATTTGCAATTGAAAATACAATTTGCAATTCCTTTTGAAAATTGTCCGGAATATCGTTCCATACAGTTCCATGATCCGGAATCATTATTCATGGCCAGTTTATTTTCTCAGTTCACTCACCAGTTGCAGGTCTGTTTTTTTTTTTCTCTTTTCTCTCCAAGTGTCCCATTGACTTTCCCATAAAGTCTTTCGTATTGGTATGTTGATGTGTTTTTCCCCCAGATATGTACTTGAAAAGAAAATTTTATTTTTGTTCACTAGCCTTTTGAGGGTCATTTCAAGGTTACTTTACTGTGTTTACTGAGTAATCAGAAAAAAATGTCACATGAAGCCTGGGCACAGCGTGCTTTTGCATGCCTTGATAATATAACTGTGAATTGCTCAGAATTTGAGTGCAAGACTTCTAACGCAGAAGACGTGACAAAGCATCTGTCAGAAAATAGAAAACATGCCTGGGCTTTGGTGGATAATACGGGATATTGTTAGCTTGCTAGCGAGGGCTGCTGCAGATTAGCTTATCTGAAATTGTGTGAAGACATTTACATATCCAGGTCCCCCTTAATACTGAAATTTGACTCAAAGCAAGTGGTTATTGAACACGCTGGAAAATAGCCCGAATGTTGTTGGCCGTCATTGATGATCATCTGGGGTCTGTTGCCTCAGCCAAGGACATTTTCATAACTTCATAACAAGCTTTGTTCCAGGAGATAGTTCATCATTTTCGAGAGGTTGAATCATCAAATTTCAGAGTTGAAGTCATCCTTGACTGTACATTAGGAGGACATGGGAGTAGAATCGGTGCGATTTTATGCTAAACGGTGTTAACTGATCGTTTTAGTGTTTGTGTATATTCTCAGCATGACCTCTTCTGAGGTGAACGACTTAAATGTGGCACTTGCTGTTTCATTACATAACTGAAAAAACAATGAGTATATTATGCAGCTTGTCCAAGATGATAAATGTGGCGCTGCGGCTTGCACCGACAGCTGGTGGGTGATGTGAAAGTCTATTTCTGTTTGTTTCTGATATCTGCCAAACACCAAATTTGTATTATGCATATGCCAAACTGCAGCGGATTGGTCTTTTTGCTTTACCATATAGTCAGGCACGATTAGGGCTGGGTGACTTTACTAAAAATACATATAGATACTGTATTTTGATTGTATTCAATATATGTTTCAGTATTAATGTAATTGCTGCTATTATTTTTTTCTTCAACTGGAAGAATCATCATTTTAATCATTGTTGTCAAGAAGATTCAACATTTTTAATAATTTTGAGTCTTCTTAACATGGAGATACAGGTCTAATTTTTGCATCAATGTAAATTGGTTTAAAATGTATTTTTATGTTTATATTTTATATTGTATGTGACAATTATTTTGTCATGTGTTAAGTTAAGTAAACTTTGTGGTGACACTAGCCTTTACTTATAATGCATTATAAAAGTATTGTTAATACATACATTTTGCTGTAATGCAGCTTTGCATGTTCTCCCTTTCTTTATATTTATTATAATATAATTTATTATAATGCATTTATTTATTCATTGTTACACCTTTATAAAGTATAATGCATTAAAACACGTAACAAACAGCCAATTTCACATGTAACAAGGAATCTGCAAATTTTATTATACATTTTTAACTGTTTACAATTACTTTTGAATGATATTCATAATATATGTTAATGTAATCCATTATATCTTTTCATAAATAATTGTAACCACAATTTTCTATAATATATGCATTATGCATAAAGACTTCAAGTAAAAGTGTTACCAACATTTTTACAACCAAAAATTTCAACCCAGCACAACATTGAACACACAAATTACAGTGACACTTCAACAAACATACATTTAAGAAAAAATACATTCTGTTCAATAAAATTAAGGTTTGAGGAAAAAAATCAATAGTGTTACATTAGCCCATTTAAGTAAGTATCACTTGCGTCAGTAGAGAGAGATCCAAAATCAGCGCAGCCTTGTCTCAGTTTCCATTTGATATAAGTTTAATTGCAAAAACCCACAGTAGACCAGCATTCATATTATGACCGTGTCAAAAAGACAGCCGGCAGATATAATTGCCTATGAAAGTTTGAGTAATTGACATTCAATACGGAATCACAGCGGGAAATACTGCATCATTTTCCATTATAAGAGCTGACGGAAATAAAAATTGGGCCAACTCCGTTTAGCAACCGCAGCGACAGTGAATCTAACCGCCTTCTTTTCACCTGGTTTCAGATTCCGCAGATCAGCTACGCCTCCACCGCTCCAGAGCTGAGCGATGACCGCCGATACGATTTCTTCTCTCGCGTCGTACCTCCCGACTCCTTCCAGGCGCAAGCCATGGTGGACATAGTGAAACTGATGCGGTGGAACTACGTGTCTACAGTGGCCTCGGAGGGAAGCTACGGCGAGAAAGGAGTCGAGGCCTTCATGCAGATTTCCAGAGAAGCGGGTGAGTCTGACAAAACAATAAACAAAGTCTTTGAAGATAAAGCCCTGAAAAACTCAAAGCAGTCTCTGCATAAGTAAACAGAAGTGTTGTTAAGACTTATTTTGGTTGTACTAATAACAACCTGTCAGTTTCGTCAGTGTTTACAGATTATATTTTTAAAAACAAGCCTTATTCACTGAGAAATGTTTGGATTGCTTTGCTCATTCATCTCTACAATACAAAGTCGATTGCTTGAGATGGTTTCAAACCATCAATTCGCAGTGTTTCCCCCAACAAGTAGCTCACCTCTCAAATAAATGAATATGTAAATAACACAATTGTCTCTTAACGGTGGGGATCTTGTGTCTCTGAGACACTTTTCACACAGATGTCTTGCAAAACAAAGTGTGATGTGCCCCAAGGAAAGAAGATTAATTCCAGATGTCTCCCTCATTAGTGAGTGAAGCCAATTACTGGAACCTGACTTTTAGGACACAAATTAGATGGTAAGGTGTAACCTGACATGATGAGTAATTGGGGTTGCTTAATGGGGCCTATGGTATGTCAACAAAATAACCTCATGATTGTTTCATGCTCCTTAAGAAAAGTGTGAGAAGTCTTGTAGGGACGGTCAATTTGTAAACAAACCATTCTGTTGCATTGTTTAACAAATCTGTTGAACTGGTCCACAAAATCAGTCTTTGCTTATGGCTGTTTGGCAGGATCTGTAATGAAATGAAACAGCCCAAGTGGTTCTTCAACTCACAGAATCATTGCACCAAGATTCATTTCATAATGAGTTTGGTTACCTTAAAGACTCATCAAACCAAAAAACATTGAAGTGGTTCTATAAAACAATTCAACCGGCTTTTTGAAATCAGTTGTATTAACAAATTATAAATACTAGTGCTGAGTTCAAAATATCGATACGACGATGTATCGTCACAGAGATTTGACGATACGAGTATCGATACAGCTGGCCCTGTGTCGATATTGTGGCACATGTGCATAAGTGGACCACGCTTAATTTTACAACGTTTAAAATTGAGTAGAAAAGTGCGAGTTTTCTAAAAAAGAATTAATAGAGCATCTGTTAATAATCTGGCCGCAGAGGAACACAACTGGGTTGCCTGATATAAAGAGACGTAAACCCCAAAACAGAGCTTTACACTTGCGCAATACGGAAATATCTGCTAAGTGTG